ATCCATGTGAAAACAAAGCATTTTTAAAAGGAGGAAAAAAAAAGTAGCATGATAAAAGTAGTGAACTAAGCAAATGAGTAGTTGGTGTGGTTTCCTTCTGTTCATCATCAAGATACCATTCTTGGTAGCTGGGTCTGATGACTGCGGGGGAGTTAGTCTCCCCTTATGCTTCACACTGTCCTGTTTTCACTAAGCTAGCAAGGTGTGCTTTGAAAAGGCACCCTTTCTCTGATTTTATATCTCTAAATACAAATGAAGTGAAGCTGCATATCACAGTACAATACATGCTCCTCTGCTCTTATTGTGGTAGGAAGTTTGATCCTGGCTAATGGCAGTGTTAGCAAAATAGAAAAAAGGGAATCAAGCACAAAGCAGGTTCAGTGGCAGGGGTGGTGGAGCAGGAGGAGAAGAGGAAGGAGAATGAGGTATTTTTGGATGTCTTCACAGCAGCCTCAGGTGTTTTCTAGGTTTTGTGTCTACTGTTAACATGCTGCCTGGGGTTATGAAATACTACTACAATCTAACTTTGTGCAGACAGATACACAGCCTGAATTTCTCCTGGCATTGCTGTGTAATTCATCTAAGCAAGAGGGGATTTTTGTCAGTGGGATGGCTGCACTGGCAGCAGTCAGTAGAGTTGACATAGTTATAGAGGACTAATCAAACCTCAGAGGAGGGCAATGGAAAGGGAATAACCCCTCAGAGGAAGGCAACAGTAGAATGGGTTGAGTACAAAAGGCTGTTTAATGCAAAACAAAATCAGAATGAAAAGACAAGGGAAACTTCTTTGGGCTCTTCTCTTTCCTTTGATTTGCCACAACTATTCCAGTAGTACCAAATCAAGTCCTACCAAGCTAGACAGACAGAAACACATATTTGTAAAGTGGCAAAGTATGGGTTTCTTAGTTGATGGGTTGGGTCTTAAAAGTTTTTTCATTACTTTAGCTGATGCTCACTGATTTACATCAGCTAAGGAATCTGATTTTTACTCACTCCAGGTCTTGTCCTGCAATTTGAGAGGCATTGAGAATTTTGCCAGAACTCCAAAGGCTTGAAGGTCTGAAGCCCTAATAAATTGGAGTTTCACAAATTAAGTATGAAGGCTCATTTTAGAAAGTGTATATGAAGAGAGTGCCATGTTCGTGCCAAATGCATTTTAGGACTAATGGGTAGTTTTTCTGTGGTAGTGATTTCTGTGATTAAAAAAAATAAATCTTTTGTGAAACCATAGTGGTCACGCTTGATCCATTTAATGCCAAAGTTGTGCTAAACCAAAGAGATGATAAACACTGGCATATTACAAAAACACAGATTTCAGACATGGTTTTCTTCATTCAGTTCTGTTCATTCTGTTAGTAAGGCTGGTAATTATTGAGGATTAGTACAGTGCTGCATAGGATTGTTGTTATTTTCCTACAAACATATGCAGGAGGAGGGGAAAAACACTAATTAGGAAAGTCCAGGGCAGATGAAAAGAATAAAATAATTAATGGAATGCTTGTGTCAGCACTTATGTATCCTGGTGTACAGTACGAGGAGGCTCTAGGGTTGCATTGTTGTGGGAAACTAAGTTCTGCAAGGAAGCCCAAGTGCTCCAATGAACAAGAAAATATATAGTTCAGTATCTGACAGGTATAGAGCTGTTCATAGATGGATTAGAAAAATGAATTAAAAAACTAATTAAAAGCAGAGGTCAGAAAATTCTGATGCGATTATGTTCTCTCACCACAATATTTGCAACTGAAAATACTAATTTATGAACACTGTAGGTAATGTTTCAATATTCCCTAATACTTTTTGTTTTTTCTGTTCAGGCACATACGGAAGAAGAAAATCCTCGGAAGACAATGGAAGTGAATGGGTTTATGCTGGTGCCAGATTCCTATGACTATGATCTCATTGTCATCGGTGGAGGCTCAGGAGGTCTGGCAGCTGCCAAGGTATGAGGAGGAAAATACACACTTATACTTTCCTTGTAAGTAGGTGGGTGACATCCCCAGTGTCTTGGATTTGGTACCTTTAACACTGTAGGGGCATAACACTTTTGTCTGATCCGTGAAATTTCTTTCACTATTTCACTTTTTCACCATTTTGGTTACTGCCAATTATTCAATATACTTTTCTTTATGTTCTGAAGAATGAAAACATGGTATACTCCTTAATATTCCCTAAAACTCCTTACTAGAATGAAACTTGGTCCCCATTTATGGGAGATGATGCTGCTGGAAAACAGCAGGTAGATATCTTAATAGTGTTTTAGTAGTTTAATTTAAACTCAACTCAACAATGAAAAGGTTCTATTCAAAATTAACATCAGGAGGTATCTACTTTTGTATAGAAGTAGTATCTTTTCAGACATAGTTGTGTATCTTTTAATTCTTGGCAATGGGGGAGATTCTGTGATTTTTGAGCTTACATAGTTGCATAAATGGAGATTTTGCCCATACTTAAGCTACGGTCTCATCCTTCCTTTCCAGGGTCTGGTGTTTCCTGCCTGTAGCCAGATGAATTACGGAGTTTTGTTAGGACAGTGCTATTAGAAGCATATCTACAATTAAGTAAAATTTTAAAAAGCTGGTACAAAATACACCAGCTGTTAGAGCTGTCATAATCCCAAATATTTTAAACTTGAAGAAATTTAGTGTAAGTTAGTAGCTCTCCTTTACATCAGTAGTCAGGCACATTGTGTTTCTTCTGTCTATGGTAGGATTAGCTATTTAGAGTGAATTGAGCATTCCTGTGAATAAAATTACTTTGTTGTTCAAGACCTGGAGCTGGATTATTCCTCCATTTGGGAGTATTTCTTTTGTTCTCGAGAAGTGGAGGAGGTCATGCACAGTGAAAGAAAATAAGGAGAAAATATTTCAGAATAGTGTTGGATTCACAGTGAACCCTGGTCCCTTAGAAGTACTTCTGTTATAATGGAAATGTGCAGGGATGAGTGATGGATTGTAGATCCATCTATTTTCATAGTTTACTGCTTTCCTATTGATAGGGGCACTGTTGTCATGGTGTAGGATTGAGGACTGAAGGAAAGATCTATGAAAGTTCTGAGAACCACAAAGAGAAGCAAGTCCTGCTTTTCAGAGGATGGAGATGTTCTGGGTCAGGAGAGAGTAACGAGTAAAATAGACTTTGCAGTAATGCAAAAAGAGTTTGCAGTAATAAGAAACCAGCAGTTGAAATTTCTATAAGAAGACTAACTGACACAGTGATGTTTATTGCATCATTTTTCAGTTGTAGAATAGAAAAAGTATGCAGTAGGTAAATAAACTGCCTAATTCCTTCAACTCAGTATGTGAAGTATATTGATTCTCAGTGTTCTCACCTGATTGTTTAGTAGAACAGAAGATGGTAGATCAATAAAGTCAACATCCCTATCAGTAGTAACGTGTGTATTTCTAATCAGTTTAAAAAAGTTGAAGTGAAACTGTTTTACACACATAAACTTCTGACTTTTACTTAGATTGTTCAATTTTTAAAAAATAATTCACTGACAGTGCTTTAAAATAACCAAACCAAAACAGAAAAAGCCCCAGCTACACAACTCTCATACAAAGTTCCAGATACCTGCACTCAGGTTTGCAGCAGTTTACCCAGACTGGTTAGATGTGTGCTTTTCACTCTGAAACCTCCACCTTTGTGTGCACATCTTCCACTCTACATTGTGAGCTTGTTCCTTTGGAGGCCATTCTCCACAGGGAGTGCAAACACTGTCAGGCTGACTTGGTACAACTCAGCTACAGACTCAGAATGGTGCTAGGCCCCTGCTCTCAGCTCACACAGAAAAGCTACCTAAGCAGCCTTGCTGCATTCCCGCAGCACTGCACTGAGCCCTGAAAGGTTTGAGAGCCTACAGGGCAGGTTTGTAGCTGTGGGCAGATCACTCAGTCCACTCAGAAGTGATTCTATCTGTGTATGATCTCCGCCAAGGTGGCGATGCAATGCTGTGCTGTGTTATGTGAGCATGTAGCTAAAGGGAAGCTTGGGAATCCATGCATTCTGCTTAGCTAACCCTGGTTAAGGCTCTTTGGAACAGTGCTTAAGAGTTGTCATCATAAAGGAGCTTTAATGACACGTCTCACTCCCTAAGTGCCTTTCTGAGGAACTTTCTCAGAGGTGCTGCTAATGGATAGGAATTAGCTTCTTGGCCAGACTAGATCTTTATTGGAAGTGGAAATCCAGTACAACAGTATTTTCTGAAGGTGTCTACAGCCTGTGTTATTTGTAGTGTGATTTGCATTTTGCATGAAGTAAGATTCATTTAAAATTGAAATTCTGATTGTCAAATATTTAGATTAACAAGTATTACTGGTAACAGAATGCTGAAGGCTGTCCAGCTCCTCCCAAACCAAACCTAAGGCCTGCTCATATAGTTGTTACTGCTCACATGTCTAAGAATTCATCATATGATGCCAGCATAGTTGTGGCTACTCCAAGTAGCAAAATTATTTTGCTTCATCTCATGGGATAGTTCTCAGTATCATTTACAGGCATTAATTGTAGATTTGCTAGTGAAACTTAGGGGGAATATAGGATGATAGAGTCATTAAGGTTGTCATGCTTGGCCATGTGACTGGTTGTGTCATTTTCTGATGTGTTTTCAAACAAATGCTGGAGAAACCATCTTTGAAGGGAAAACTGGATTAATTAGGAGTTTGTTAAGTAGGTTAAAAGTAAATGGGTATGTTGGGAAATAGTCTGAACAAAGTGACAAGATGGAGGAGTGAAGAGCAGGTTGGACTCACAGAGTCTCCTGTGTATCAGCTGGTGCCATGTTGTTTTGTAGTAGGATGAATGCCTTTTTTTGCCTTTCAGCTTCTTTTTCCTACTGAATGCACAGGTGAATTCAGAAGATTAATGACTGTCCGCTCCCTTGAAAATCATTCGCTGTTACTTAATTAAAAGTCACAAAGTTTTCAGCAATGCATGATGTTATTGTCTGCTTCAAGTTTAATTTCTCATATTTAGAAATGTGTCTTATTTAATTTGTTTTGCAGGAGGCTGCCAAATATGAAAAGAAAGTGATGGTGCTGGACTTTGTCATGCCTACACCTCAGGGAAGCTCGTGGGGTAAATTTCTCTTCATTGCAATCCTGTTATAAAGGAGCTTTGCTCAGAGACTCTTATTTTCATGTTTGAAATCTGCTACACTGATGTGAAAACCACATTCTGTTCCTTTCTCTCAGGTCTTGGAGGAACATGTGTAAATGTGGGCTGTATACCTAAAAAATTGATGCACCAGGCAGCTTTACTGGGACAAGCCTTGCAAGATTCACGCAAATTTGGGTGGCAGTTTACAGAAGAAGGTAAAGAAGGACACTTTTTCCAGTTTTGTCATTTGCACTGAAAATCCTGAGGTGCTTCATAATCAGGTGCATGTTGCACTGCAGCATATGCTGGCTTTGACAATGTGAGGCAACTTTGGAGAGCTTACACATAAATTGAAGTGCTTTTCGAGTCTAAAGCCATGGGGCTTATTGCCTCCATGTTTTATCTGTTTGTTAGTAGCTCCTGATCACGTTAGTAATTGATGAGACTGTTGGATGAAAAAAAACAATAAGGTGCTCCTCCATTTCTGAATGTACCATGACATCTAAGGGAATACACCAGAATGTTGACTGACAGAAACTTCTTATAGTTACAAGCAAGGATTTCCTTTCCCTAAGTGTCTATCACTACTGTGTAAGAAGATGGATTTTACTTTTTATAATCTCTGATGTGCATGGTTATGGGATTATGATTTATTTAAACTGCAATCCTGTATTTGAAGCATGCAGAGGCACCTCTCAGACATGCATTGTCTTCATTTGTTGAGCAATGTCACCTCTTACAGCTGTCAATATATATCTGTCAATATAAAACTGTCAATAATTCAGTAAGTCTTAATTTTCAATGTTTTAAGTCATACCTATTGCACTGTGACCTCTCATGTTATCTGTGCTGATGTAATTCTTTGAATTTCAGTAGCCTTACCCTGAAATAAAACAGAAGTAAGACAAACCCAGGAAGACTGGGTCATGAAAATAATCTCTTTGAGAATAGCAATTTTGCTGTGGAAAAAGAAAAACTCAGACTAAAATGTGAACCTTCTTCTTTTGTTGCTGACAGTCAAACACAACTGGATGACCATGACAGAATCTGTTCAGAATTACATTGGTTCACTGAACTGGGGCTATCGGGTTGCCCTGAGAGACAAGAAGGTCACGTATGAGAATGCATATGGAGAATTTGTCGGGCCACACACAATTAAGGTACATCATAGCCATTCTTTGCTGTGTCTTCCTGTAGTGCTGTCTGAATAGAGATAATTCTCAAATAGAATAATTTTTCCTTTGGTGGTACTGTAAAACACTCACTTTGCACTAATACTTTGTATGCAGGCAACGAACAAAAAGGGAGTTGAGAAGCTGTACACAGCTGAGACATTTATCATTGCCACTGGTGAACGACCACGCTACCTGGGTATACCTGGAGACAAGGAATATTGCATTAGCAGGTAAAAACAGGGAGGAATACAAAGTCATTCCTTGTGTGTAAATACTTCCCCATACTGAAGAGCACAGTCTACTTGAAAGAAAACTCTGCACTTAGATATTAGGGAAAGTAGGAATAGCATAGCTGCTGATGTTATGAAGTTGGTAGGAATCTGTCTTCATGCATTGGGGCAGTCTTGAAACTCAGCACAATTTTTTTCCCAGCTATTCAGTTTTCGAAAAAACTGCATTTGAGTGTCTGGTTAATTGCTAATGCCAAGCAAAAATGTTATATGAAGATAAAATGTGTTTTCATATCACAGTATCTTTTAAGTTATTTGCTGTAGAAACAGAGGTTGGAATTACAGGCTGGCAAACCTATAGCAATGAAATAAAAATTGGCACAATTCCTCTGAAACCAAAACACCAAGTGGTGTCCTTCTCTTTTAATAAGTGGTAATGAAATTAAAGATGACAGATAATACAGCCTGTAAAGTGGTGCTTTAAAGTAGCTTCAAGATGGAGGACTCAGAAATCCCAGAGTTAGACTATCAGATTGAAGCTGTGTAATCTTCATTGAGTTCCTTGGGGTATAGGAGCTATGCTACAGCCTTTAATTGCACAATCACATTTTGTTGCATCACGCTGAGAAAAGGGACACTTATTTTAGAGTGAAATATTCACAGAATTGTACTGTCAGACTCCAAGTGTGTTAATGTGGTGCCTCCATGAGTCCTGGCTCTGTGGAGAAGCCCTAGTTTTATAGCCTAGGTCCAAAGTGTGGTAGAACTGATGTAGCTTGATGAAGCAGTTGAAAGAAATGAAAAGCAGACAAAGGAGCATGTTTTCCATAATTTCATACTTCTATCTTTGCCTGTTACTGTTGTTGTGCGTATATCTGGCACTGTGTATAATGCTTCAGCAAAAGGAAAAGTCTTCAAAGCGATGATGGTATTTTATCTTAAAGCTGAATCCCTTTCACTTTTAGTTCTCAGGAGTTAAATTTGCAGCAAAATATTTAAAGCAAGATTTAGAGGGGAAATAATGTTGCCTCTGCTTGAGGCAAGGCAACCTGGATCAGGAACGGCACGGCGGCAACCCCTTTGCCACTCAGTCCAAGTACTCGCATGCACCAATGTGGTGGACGGTAAATGGCATTTATTAATGGTTGGACAGGGTAATTTGTAGCAGGGGTTAACGGTTAACAACACGCAGGGCTAAGTAATGGTAAAGGGGAGGGGTTCTGTTTGTAACATCACGATATCCTGCGGCTGGTCCCTGATCTCCCACATTTCCCCCCCCTCTTATGACTAACCAAAAACATAGGAAGTGTAAAGGCTATAAAAACATAAAGGCTAGCCAACTGAAACGTGGTAAAAAACTCACAACTGGTAAAAACAATGAACATTTCCGTAACTCATCTCAAAGCAACTGTAAGTGTCTAACAAACAAAATGTTAACTCTTTCTAACTAATTTTTAACAAATAATGCTAACTTATTTAAAATGTAAGGCCCAAAATCAATGCCAGGGGCATTGCAGCAAGAGGGCCTAATAAGGTGGGACCAAGGGCGATCAGTCATGGGGACTGACTGAACCATGACGCAAAATATCCCTGCAGGACTTCTTCCTCAGTTTTTTTGGCGCTTTTGCAGAGGCTTCTCCCTGTTGATGCTTGGGACGAAAATCAATCAGAAACAAATCAATCAATCAATCAGGTAACACACATAACTGATAACACAATTGATGATCTGAAATCATACAATTACCGGTCACTACAACACTGACCTATCATCCCAGAGTCTGCAACAACCTTATGCAGAAAACCTCTGGGCTGATTGTCGATAATTCCATTCAAGTAGAGCTAGAACTTGGCCAGAGTTCGAACTCTACTTGATGGACATCACTTACATTTTAAAACAAGACTTTTAAAAACAGCAATTATGAATAGGCCATCAAACCATTATACAATTGAATTCCTCCGAAACTTTGAACCATGACTGAAAACATTTCTATTGAGCCTCTCCCCCAGTCCTTCTCTGTGCTAGCCTTTCTTTTAGTTCGGCCATGGATTTTCTCATGACCCCGATATGGTCTGCCGTCGGGCTGCTTGACAATTTGTCACAGCCTTCAGGAAGCAGGGCACACAGGCCGCGGGGGTGTCTAAGGATTCAGTCCTGCAAAATAAACTTCACAAGTTTTATCAGTTTTGCCCTGAAGATCCGGTTTGATTGACTTAAGCAGGCACCATTTAATTTTATCATTTTTCTTAATGGCTGCGTACCCTCGCCCTGTGAGTACCAGGCTCCAACCCTGTTCCCATTCCCCTAGTTAATTTTTAATTATGACCTGTGGGCCTTCCTCCAGTGCTCAGGTGGCCCAGTGCCTCTGGGCAGGGCTTTTTGTCTCGTCTCCCCTAGGGAACTGATTTAACGCTAGCAGAGCGGTTGCCAGGATGCGCACCTGGTCTTTTGGGGGAATGGAATTGGTAAAACCCTCTGTTTTTGCCAACACCTCTAGTTTAGCTTTTAGAGTTTGATTTGCTCGTTCAACAGTGGCCTGTCCGGTGCTATTGTATGGGATACCGTGTACTAAAGTGATGCCCCATTTTGAAACAAAGGCTTAGATCGATTTTGAGATAAAATTTGTGCCATTGTCCGTTTTGATCTGCTTTGGAACACCTAGCCATGCCATGGCCGTTAGCACAATGTTGCATGGTCGCCTTGGAGTCTGTTTTTTGATGTTGTGTGGCCACGATCACTCTGCTGTAGGTGTCCACTGTCACCGCGAGCCATGCTTGGGGTCTAAGCAGCTGACATAATGTACTTTTGGTGGGAGGTCAATGTCGACAATCGCAAGCAACTGCATCCAAGGGGGTTTTGCTGCGTAACGAATCTCTCCTCTAAATCCAGCAAGGGCTATGGCTAGGTGCTCTGATATTGTTGATGACTGTGCGGAAAGCTGTTTACTGAAGGGCACATATATCCTGGTGGGTTCAGTGCCCAAATGTCTCGGGGCGAGTTTCCTGCCTTTCATATTAAGGCTACTAAGGCACTCAACTCCCGGGGAAAAAGCGCGTGATGGTTTTCCCAAGACCACCCATTGTATTGGTTGGGCTTTGTCAGGGGGTCCTTGGGGTAGTGCTCCTACTCCCCCTTTCTTTGTAAGGTCGACATACAAATCGACTGGTGCGTTCGAGTCCCATCTGGCGAGCGTGCTCATCGACATCTGACGTTCGATAAAATCAAGCGAGCTTACAGCTTCTGGTGTCAGTGTCTTTTGTTCCTATGGGTTCTTCCCTTTTAGGAGGTCGTTTAGGGGGTCCATGACCTCAGGAGGGATCAGGATGATGTTACAGAGCCACTGTAGGGATCCCACCAGCTGCTGCATGTTGTGGAGTGTCCTGACGTTTTGGCAGATTTTTATTTGGGGCGGGGTTATAGATGAATCCGAGATTCCCATGCCAAAAAAGGTCACGCACGGTCCTCTTTTTATCTTTGCACTCGCAATTTCGAACCCATTTGCTTTCAAGGTCTCTGAGACTGCAGACGCTAACCGGTCTACTTGGCTCGTTGATGGTGCGGCGATCAGGATGTCGTCCATGTACTGGATAATGATCGCAGTGGGATCATTCTGCTGGACTGGCGCTAGTGCTCGGTCCACTGTGATTTGGCAAATGGCAGGGGAGTTCACCATTCCCTGAGGCAATACCCGCCGCTGGAAGCGCAGGTTGGGCTGCTGGCTGTTCGGGAAGGTGATGGAAAAGGCAAACCGCTCTTTGTCTTCGTTGTGCAGGGGAATGGAGAAGAAGCAGTCTTTGATGTCGAGCACTGCACAGGGGTGTCCTCTTGGTACCATTGAATTCATCGGCAACAAAGTTTGCACAGGACCCATTGGCTGGATTTTTTTGTTTACCTCTCGTAGGTCATGTAAGGGACAGAAGCCTTCACCAGACCATTTGGGTATAACAAAGATGGGGGTGTTCCATGGGCTTGTGGAGGGTTCAATGTGGCTTCGCTACAGCTCCCGGGTAATTAATTCAAGAAGGGCAGTCATTCGAGGCTTCGATAAGGGCCACTGCTCAACCCACACTGGGTCCAGTGATTTCCATATTAATTTGATGGGTAGTTGTGGGTATGCAGCAGTGGCCCTTAGAATAAATTTGTCATTCTGACATCCAACAAGGTTAGGGCATCCCTCCCTAACAAGGGTGGACATTTGGACATTACATTTGGGAAGAGGATGACGGTTCTCCCCAGTCCCCTCTCAGTGCAAAGCATTACTGCAACAAGCTGGGTGCTTTTTCGGGCCCGAGACAGCCCTCCAACCCCGCCTACCATGGGCGCTTCTTCCAACTTTGATTGTGAAGGCCAGTGTATGTTCGGAATAATGGTGACATCTGATGCCGTGTCAGCACAAAAGGGAAGGCAGATAGCAGGGCCATCAGGGTTGTTATAGAGATGGAAAACAGCCCACACTATCAGTGGGTGTCTGCCCACCTTCACAGCAAAAGCCACCCATGGGTCTCGCTCCCACACCTTTATGGCCAGGGCCACCCAGGGGCCTCATCCCCAGGGAGCCGTTCTTGGTATTCCTGGGGTATGGATGGGTTTGGCTGGGCCATTGGCTGAGCTGTGAAGCTGACCGTGGGGGGGGGGGGGCAGTGGGTATGGGACTCCGTGCCCCATTGACAATTGGCACAACCGGGCCACTTCATGTTCTGGGTGGAGGGGGCTGTGTGCGGCCCGGGTGCCCCCTCCCCCTCCTGTTTCCCTGATATTTGAATTTGTAATATTTAGCAATATGCCCCCTCTTTCCACATGCCCAGCATGGCCCCCTAGATTTCATCTGGCATGGGGGAACGGCTGTTGGTGGGTACCCTGACTGAGGGCAGTTCACTGCAATGTGATCTGCCTGGCCACACTTAAGGCATGCCATCATGCTAGTTATTGCAGTGTGGACAGCTGCCTGAATTGGGGCTAGATGCTCCTCTTTCACGACATGCCTAATCATGTCTGCAATGGTAGACCCAGGCGGTAGCGACCGTAAGATGTCCTTGGTAGCGGTATTACACTGTTGGCGCAAGCACTCTGCTAACACAGGGCCCTTTGCTTCCGATGGTAGAGTGGAGGAGTCAAGTGCTGCCTGAGGCAGTCCACAAACTGTGTGAAGCTTTCACTTTTGCTCTGCTTTATAGTAGACCATGGCGATGGTCTGGCAATAACTTTAGAAGCAGAGGGAATAGCCTCTCTGGCAGCTTGAGTTGTTGTCATGACCTCATGGGCCCGAAGGCCCTCAGCCTGTGCCTGGGGGGTGATCATAGTTGGGTCTGTGCCCATTAAACGTTGTATGCTGGAACCATGTAGCGGGTGGTCTGCCCCAGTCACTAAGGCCAGTTGCCTTACACAATTTCTTCCCATTCTTGTTTGAAAACAATCATCCCTGCCCCATCAAAAATTAATCTGCATGTTTGCTTGATGTCAAATGGAAGCATGTCATCCCCTCCAAAAACACTATTGATAAGAGTGGAGACCATCGCTGAATTAATCCCCCAATTAATTAAATTGCTTTAACAATTGACTGTATATCCTTGGGGTTTACTGGCGTATAGGTTCTCTGATTTCCGCCCGCCCCCCCACTCGGATGGGAAACGCCAGCGGGGCTGATGAGGCTCACTTGGCACATGCTATTTTTATTATCCTCCAATCATTTAGAGGAGTTTGTTCTTTTCCTAGCTTTCCCTTGACCCAAGCAGGAGGATTGTGATGGCTACCCTTGCGTGCTCTCACTCCCTCTTCATCAGAATCGAAATCAGAATCGGGATTGGCAATAGACCACTTGTGGAACCACTCGTCCCAGCTCGAGTCCGACTCGGGTCCGGAGCTCGACTGACTGGAAACTTCCGGGCTCCAGGACCTTTTCGTCAGGCTTCGACCTCGCCCCTTTTTCCTAGCATTGGGCCGCTCCCTCCCTCTAGGCTCGCCCCGTCTCTTGCTGGGGGAGGCTAGTTTCTTATGAAAAGAAGTTTTCATACGCGCGCTCCGAGTCTTTCCCCTCTTTCTTGCTCATGCATGTCTGTGGTGTCTTGCAGACCTTCTCTGCCCCCGCCTACCGCGCCCGCGTCCGTGCTCCCTCCCCCTCTGGGGTTCGCCACCCTGCGGCGCGTAAGGCGGAGGCCCCGCCCAGGCTCTGTCAGACCCTGAGTTAACGGCAGCGCCTCATGCCTCCTCAAACAGTCCGTCCCAAAATGACTGCTTTTTTTCCGGTAGCCAGCGCGCTTGGGCTCAGAAGCCGCGAAGAGCGTCCCCGCGGCTGTAAATCCCCACACTCGGCAAGCTCATGATCATCCGAAGTCTGCAGGGCTTTCCACATTTCCCGCTCTGGCCAAACTTTTTGCAGAGCCTGCATGACTCTTCCCCATAATTTAAGATTTCGCCCCGAGCCTAAGGAAATCGCCTCCTCGGCTAGGGCCTTGGTACATCTATTCCACCCCTCTGGGTGGAGAATATGCCCCAGCCTAATAACCCCAATTTGCAGGAGCCTCGATACTACGAGACTAAAATCTCCTGGCTCGCAGTCTACACCCCACTGCCTATGAACTTTAAAAACGACCTTCGCGAGCGACTCTATTTCTCCTTTGCTGGTCCAGGAGCGTCCTCCCCACCGAAGTTGGTCCAGCCGCTGCAGCCGCCGTTCACCTGTCCAGGCGTCCCCCGTCCCCCGGGCAGTCCCGGGTTTCGGTACCACTTTGTTGCCTCCGCTTGAGGGAATCGGGAATGGCGCGGCGGCAGCCCTTTGCCACTCGGTCCAAGTACTCTCATACACCAATGTGGTGAACGATAAATGGCATTTATTAACGGTTGGACAGGGTCATTTATAGCAGGGGTTAATGGTTAACAACATGCAGGGGTAAGTAACGGTAAAGGGGAGGGGTTCTGTCTGCCCGTAACATCGCGATATCCTGTGGCCGGTCCCTGATCTCCCACAAAATAAACACCTACCTTTTTCAACAATTTGTCCTAAATTTCTGTTAAAAAAACTTCCACATTTTTGTGGTGATTCAGAATTTTCATACTCCTTTTTTTTTGTATGTGTACTCCTAAATATAACTTTTTCATCTGTCATACACTGATTTTGTATTGCAGATGAACTTCCAAAAAATTAAGCAGGGTGTTTTTTGTGAACAGGAAAAGGAATAAAGTTCTATTCTTACAGAAAAAAAAAAAATTATATAAATCTAAAGCACACTACATTTTTCTGACTGCCTCTAATTTCCTTTTTCCTTTTTTTTTTTTTTTTTTCCAGTGACGACCTTTTCTCTCTGCCTTACTGTCCAGGGAGAACCCTGGTGGTTGGAGCTTCCTATGTTGCCTTGGAGTGTGCAGGATTTCTTGCAGGCCTTGGATTAGATGTCACTGTAATGGTGAGATCCATTCTCTTAAGAGGATTTGACCAGGACATGGCAAACAGAATTGGTGAATATATGAAAGAACATGGAGTCAACTTCATTAGGGAGTTTGTGCCAATCAAGGTAGGCTCAATGTGACTACAATTGATTGGGATGTACCTATCATAATGTTTTAAGATGTAAATTATTTTAGTTAATACACAAGTTGAACTTTCATTACAGTATCTGCTGTGATATAGAATGGATTAATTTTTGTTTTAAACCAACTCCATGAAACTTAATTAATTGAACTAATTAATCCTAATATGAAAATTTTGTGAGATTATGAAGTTCACTGTTTTTATCAGAATTAGTTGGGTTAGTTTATGTTACACAGAAAATGTTACACCTGCTTATCCTGGTTCTTCTTGCAGGCCCATAATTAAGCAGATACATAATTTCCTCTAAGATCAGGGCCCAGTGCATCAAAAACAATTCAGTTTTTCATTGCCAATTTTAAAATTTTCAGCCAGCAAATTCTGTTTATATGCTGAGGATTAGTGGACTATCCAGAAAAGTAAATGGTCTTTAGAAGTATCATCTGTATAATTAACTTGGCAGAGTCCTTAAATACTTGCTAAATTTTTGTTGAATTCAGTAAGAGTACTCATGCAGCTACTTACATATATTTTATAGGCACATGTGTAGGTAAATTCAGGTCGAATTTAAACCAAATTAGAAGTAATGGAAAATTGCCCTATCAAAGACTTCAGAGGGTGCTAACAGTATTTTTTTAATGGTTTTTTCACAATAGTCCTTACTTATTTTGAAATAGCAAATCACATGTTAAGCAATTTCAATTAGGTGTTAAACCAGTGTGCTTTTGAGTTTAACACTTTGGGGTTTAAAATTCAGTGAAGACTGTTCATTTCCATTCTTAGCAGTATCAAGAGCAGCTTTAAAAATGCTCTTGCCAGTTCCTACTGTGGGTCTGAGCATCTCTCACAGAATGAGAGTTGCTGTAAGAAGACAAAAAAATGGATCTTTCCAGGAACTTAGTTTTTATGCAGGTTTTTGTTGCATAAATCCCATGCTGTATGAAAAGTAGGGATGATTATCTAGGTTTTGTTGCAGACATGGCCTTTTGTAAGCCCTAATGGGGAATGAGAAAGAAGGAAACTGTTTAAAAGGAGCTAATTTCAACTAAATGGCAAACAGACTCCTCCAGACACATCCTGTGATAAGCAGTCCATTGCCACCATCACAAAATGCACTTCTGTGTATTTTGCCCTGTCCCGTCACTATATGTCTTTGATTTCAATGGGAAAAAAATATTTGGCCCTGTTTCTGATTGAGAATATCCTTCAGCTTAAGTTGTTTGGTACGTTTTTAGCAGGTTTTCTCATCTCTTTCAGACATTGTGTTTGAAGTTATGCATGTTTTGCTTATTAAAACCCTTTGTTGGGACTTCTGAAGGTAGAAGATGAATTATTATAAATAATGTTGCCTTTGAATAGAAGTAGTTTAACACAGTGATCCTTTACGGTTGGTAGGATGGCACAGTTGGCTTTTCTAAATATAAAAAATGGACAGAAATAAAATCTTTATCAGAAACGTTGCTCTTTCTGCCTCTAAATATTGAACATGAAGTAGGAACAAGGGTGTTGTTGAAAAGTACCTTTTCATCTGTAGGATGAACGCTAAAATTGCCCAGAATTACGTTAAGTGTTGCGTACTTACATGTCTGTTGTATGTACTGATGAGGCTTTTCTATGACAGTAGATTCCCATGGGTGGAGGGAATGATGGCAGCACTTAGAGAAAATGTCTGATGGTGTTTCCTTCCTACTTGCTTCCTCTGTCCCCAGAGGAATGAGGGCATATGTCCCCAGGTCATGTGATGGGCTTGGACAAGAACTTAACCATGAGACCACTTTTAAAAACAGAAATGAGAATTTGTTTTGTTGGTCATAAAAATAAATTCAGGGACATAAAAAACCACATTAAAATATACAAGTAGAAATGTAAAGAATCTTTAGAGTAAGTGCCTAATTTTAGATCATGGTTAAAACTCTCTCAATGATATTTGCTGGGAAAACATACATTGGTATATTTTTATTTGAAACTTTTTTTCTACCCCATCCAATCCCCAAATTGTTGTAGGTTGAGCGGGTTGAGGAAGGAACTCCTGGAATACTGAAAGTTACAGCCAAATCCACAACAAGGGATCAAATAATTGAAGCGGAATACAATACTGTGAGTCCTGTCTATATGCATGAAGAATGTGAAATAGCCTTCCATTAAATGTTGATATTTTGTGGGGTGTTTTTATCCACACATTGGATTTTTTCAAATTATTTTAGTCCTTACAATATGCTAATTGCACACACTCAGCAGGTAATTAATCTGGAAATAAAAGTCCCCAAATCAATGGTTATTTTGCCTTGCCAAATCAGTTTGCATGCTTTTGAAACCTGTTTCTTAGCTTAGGGGTGTAGAAGAGCTTGGTCCTGTGGAACCAGTTGCAGGATTTTTTCCCTGTGGGATATTTGTAATAAATTATAAGTAATGATTTATAATAGCTTTCATAGTAATTAGGGCATGTTTTGTAGTTAGCACAAAACAATGGTCAGTGCAGGAGTTAAACAAATGCATGACATGTCATCTCAAGACCTGTTCTTGACACATCTTCACAAACACAGCAAATGCCCTGTGGCAAGTCAGTCAGGAAACTTCATTACACACTTAAGACAGTAAAATTGTAGTGTGCAGGCATGGTATTGTATGTTTGATTGACTGTTTCCATCACACCTCACACCACTCATTTTCATCAGCCTTGATGCTGAAAGGAGAAAAAAAAATTGTGAATAGAGTATTTGCAACCACACAGAATGCATAAAGACAGGCCTTTGCCAGCCTGGGACTTCAGACTGCAAATACTGTGTGCCAGTGGCCTCGTTTACCTGTACAGTGCATCAGTCATCCCCTAAAAAGAACACACAGTGCATCTGGGAGCCAATACTGTGAGAAAGTTTAACAATGACAGCAGAGCTGTTCCATAGGATTGTAATACTGGGGTTTTTCTAGTCCATAATAGTGAAAGCTTATTAGCAAGGAAATCAATTCCATCCTTTTATTAATGAAACTTTTGGTTTCTTGTTGCTACATCATCACCGAAATGCTGTCACTCCTCATAGAAGCTGAGAGCTGTGTGTGCTGCATTTTAAGACCTTCAGCTCTAAAGATGTGGTGTGTTTGATCATCTGTAAGGCTTGAAGGAGATCTTGGGATTCCTTCAGGACAGTTCTTAGTTGTCATATGAAAAGCATTGTTAGTTATCTGGGCAGTTGTCCAAGACTACAAAGCATGTAGCAATTTTCCTTGTGATAGCAGAAGTTGGAACACGATTTGTTAAGTTAGCAGAGTTGATAGGATGGGATTTCAGCCTTGACAAATGTTCAAACAAATAATATTTAAAAAATAATATTCTTTGACAGTGGTTGACTGAGAGCCTATATAAGTAAATCATATTTTCAGTTAAAAAAATACTTTTTTAATCATAATTTTATGATATTTTTATTTGCTTAAGCATCTGAGTTTCTTTCTTAAAGAGCCCTTTCCTAATGGAGCATTTTGAGGTCACTTGCTCTGGTAAGGATTCGGGATAATATCTTGGTTTAAAACTGTAAGGAAATAAAGAATCTGTCCCTAACTGATTGGTTTAGAATATTCTTGGACTATTCCTCAAGGGAAAGCTATTTTCCTGTTTTTAATCTTAGCATTAATACCTGCTATTGTTAGGTCATGGTGGTAACATGGCTTGTCTTAAACTCTATGAATGAACAATGGATAACAAATATAGTCACCTTACTGTGACCAAGCTTTAGATACTAATCTCTAGTATATATAGAAGATAATAGCCAAAGGAAATGCACTTTTGAGTTTTTAAAAATCAGTCATGTGCATTGCTGTTTTGCAGGTGCTGCTGGCAATTGGACGAGATCCATGCACAAGAAAAATTGGTTTGGACAAAGTCGGAGTGAATATCAATGAAAGGTAAGGAAGATGTTTGTGTACCACTCACTGCTGAGTTTGTGTCATGTGCTGTTACAATGGTAGTGGTGCAGAGACACCCAAATCTTTGAGGAAAAATTTGTGTCTTGTTTCTGTACACTTGGATGGGAGACCATGTAGCAGATAGCTGTATTTTCTCCCATGGTACTGCTACATTTGCTTTTTGGTTGCTGAAATGTCAATTTCTAATTCCTAGGAGAAAAAAGTGTCTATTTCATTCTTTCTAGATTTACAGGTCCATCTTAGCTTCTTACAGCCACAGGTTTTCTAGGATCTGTCAGTTGTTCCTTGTACTCTCTTTTTCTCATCTGCTTGCTTTTATCACCTCTTGGAACAAAAATCTGTTAGTTCATACAGGCTTTTAGAGCAGTGAGTTTTGTTCATATTTTAATGTAAAAGCTACTATATGTTATTTTGAAAGATAAGATTCAAGTAGCATTCCTTAAACTCCCAAGTGAAATTCTTGATGTGTTTTAGGTTTTGGAGGGTTTTATTTCTTGCCTTTAAGCAACGCTTGGATACAATCTGTGTCTTCTGTAGAAGAGTATTTGATGTTAAATGTAGTGAGGTTGTTGTACCAGGGAGTGGAGCTATCAGTAACATTTTCAATATTGGTAACTAAAATATCTTGCGGGCATGTAGGTCCTCAGAGATCTGCCCTTTGAAGGGAAAACAAGGGACCATGACCCTGACCAATGCAGAGTATTTATAAATGAATGCAGTAACTGATGTTGTCAAGGGGCACAATGTGATATTTCAAATAAGTGGAAATTTTGGTCCACTCAAAATTGGCAGATCCATGTTGGTTTGTAGAATAGTACACATCTTTCTGATGTCAGGACACCTATTACTAGCTTAATAGAATGAACTATAAAGATATTAGCATAAACTGTATAATTTTTAGTGAGTGCAAAATTGAGGATGTTGGATTTTTAATATGGGAATTGCTACTGGTTTCTCAAGTAACTGTGTTTTTGTGTCTGTCTGATTAGGTTTCCCTGTTACATGTGTTTCCTGTGGTGATTACTGCACTATCTCATTTATTGATGAAGTAGGAAATATTCCTAATTAAAAATTTTAATTAGGAAACCCTAATTAAAAACTTCCATTAGCTCAGTGCACTTACAGCTAAAAAGCTTGATGGCTGTTCCTTAGGTAGGGTGTGTAACACCCTACCTGTCTCTGTGTAGAAGCCTGAAGAATAAGTTTTTATAAACAGCTTCAGCCACCGGACTGAAATTTCAGTAGTGGAAAAATTGTTTTGTCCTACAAAAGGAATGGGAAAATGTCACTTCCTGTCATTCCTGAAAGTTGCCAGTACACAGCTCAGCTGGTGGTAGAAGGTGTTTCAGGAAGAGGTTTATGCTTCACCTCAGTGATTCAGGAGTTGAATTGCAGCTTCTGAAGCTACCTCCTTGTCCAGTGTGTGAATTCCTGTAGTTTTGGTCAAATTTACTGTATTTTATATTCCTGCCCGAGACTGTAAGTTTATGAATACGAATTCTTTCCTTCATACTTCACATACAAGTCTTTCTCTTAATGCTAAGGGGCCTGCAAGGTTATTTACACCTCCAGCCTTCAAAGCAGAAGGCTGTGAAGCAGAATCTTTTTTCTTGTTAATTCCAATTGCAGAACGGGAAAAATTCCTGTCAATGATGAGGAGCAGACAAATGTTCCGTATATCTATGCTGTTGGAGATATCCTGCAGGACAAGCTGGAACTCACACCGGTGGCAATCCAGGCAGGAAGGTTGTTAGTTCGGAGGCTTTATGCTGGGACAACCACTAAGGTAAGGAACTAGTTGCCACAAAACACTGTCACTGCTCTGCTTCTAAGTGCAGAGTGCAAGTCTGCTTGCTTGTGGAAAACCCAGTAGAATTTTAAGGATTAGCTTTGATGATCATTTTAATTTTCCCCCGGCAAAGATATTACTGCAGATGTGTTTGGCTAATTGTGTAGGATGAAATGAATACCTTGTGGATTAAGCAGTAGTCTCTTTTTTTCCTATTAAGAGGGTTTAGTTTTCTCTCAAAGTATAATGATAATGAAATTAACAGAGATCATTTCACTTGTTTTCAATTCTACTCCATTCCTTAAAAGTCATCAATCTTCCCCATCCTGTTAAGTGCTTTAACACCAATTCAAAGGCAGTTTGCTGAACCCACCTACGGTCCCTAAATAGAGTGGAATAGCAGTTTGTGATGTTAATTTTCAGTCTTATTTTAATGATTTTTTTTCATTTCTCATCTGTATGTTTTCAATGTAATATGCAGTCCTAATTGTAGTTGAATGTGGACACAAAGGAAGATTAGATGTACCAGTAACTCAGCACATGTTTATACCTGAGTAGTTGAATTAATGGATTCAGTGTTCATGTTTTGTACTAGTGCAGTTCTGGGTTTCAGCCAGGTTATGGTTGTTCAGATGGGAGTAATGTGGGTACTCATTTACACCTTATGTTTAAACCAGAAGGAAAGGAGAGTGCCTTTAAAGAACTGTTACACTGATATGGGTGCTTGTCTCACCTTCATAACCATATGGCATGACCATAAAGGTTTATCCCTTTCAGAGCCTGCTGTATTCATAGCAAGTTCAGCTATCAGCCAGATTTAGAGCATGATCGAGTTGTTTGTTTTACATCGGCAGATACTGCAGTAACAGAACTCTGAATCAGTGCACAAAATGTCATTGAAATAGCCAGGCAAGGTTTAAGAAACTGTAGCAGAAGCCAAATTTTTTTATTGCTGCAATGCTATGGGGATGTCTTAATTTACATTTTATGCCAGATAAGTCTGTAAAGGTACAAAAATTGCTATATTGCCAAAGGAAGCATTCTTATTCAGTGAATCCAAGAAACGAGTAACTACTTTAAAAAAATGGGAGCATGTCTCATACTGCCTTTGTAACAAATCTGGAGAAGGTGATTGAAATGTCATGAGGTGTTATGGATAGGTGGGGCAAGAACAGTAGTCAGCACCTTAGTTGATCCCCAGTCACAAAGGAAATTAATTAGAGTTGAAATATGTAGAAAATAAAATTGCTAGACATGAAATAGAGCTGACTGGCCTGCTAGTCTGCTATAGCAGAATGACTCATTTGGTGTATATGGGAAGAGCAGTGTATGTTTGTTTATTTTGAGTCTAGTGAAAGCTTTTTACTCTGCCTCCATAACATTGTCATGGACAAAGGGATGAATTGCAGGCTGGGTAAGTGGGCAGTGAGGTGGGTTGAAAACTGGCTGAACAGACAAGCTTAAAGGCTCAGCATTCCAGAGACTAGCTGAAGGCCAGTCACTGGTGGTGTGCCACAGGCTTGGGCTTGGTTCCAGTGCTGTTTACCAGCTAAACTAAGGGATCTGGATGCTGAGAACAAGTGCACGCTCAGAAAGTTTGGAGATGATACAAAACTGGGAGAAGTGACAAGTTTCCACTGTCCCCCCAGATGGTTATACAACATGTCATTGGTTCTTTGGCATCACCTAGGCCACAGCTGATGAAAAATGAGTTTTGAATGGTAGTGGTGCCCTTACAGCATCCCCAACTAAAAATAGTATGCTTCCTAGAAGTGGTTGAACAGGCAACTTTTATGTCCAGTTTGGCCTGTGATCTGGTACATTTGTTAAATAGGGCACTGAATTTCCTTTTCCATTTAATCAATGCCTACTAATGTTTGAGTGGCTTTAAGCTGTCTTTTTTTTTTCTTGCTCTAATTAGCACCTCTGGAATGAACAAACAAAAAACTGTACCTTAATTTAAGACAATTTAAAAAAAAACAAAAGAGCTTTCAGAATTGTGAATAATCAAGCTTTTCTTGCTGTGTTTCAGACTGCTGTATGCTGGTTTTATTACTGATGTTGTGTGGGTTTTCATTTTGTTTTGAATGCCATACAGTGTGACTATGTGAATGTTCCAACTACTGTATTTACTCCTTTGGAGTATGGAGCCTGTGGGTACTCTGAAGAGACTGCAGTGGAGAAATTTGGGGAGGAAAACATTGAGGTAAATGCCTTAATTTCACCTGGGTTTTAGTTTTCCAATTTGTAATTTAAAATAATATTAAGAGTAAATTAAAACAGCATTTTGTGCTCTCATTTAAGGACAGGAGGTGACTAGGTACATTTTTTGTCTTCCTTGGCTGTTCCTAGACATGTTATAAAAATAATCCTCAATTCCAATAGCTCTAATTACAGGTATGTTCTATTTTTGGCAAAGAGGGGCTTAAAGGTGGAATGTTTGGTTTAAAAAATTAGAAAAAGGCTTTCTATGTGTCTGAAAATACTTCAGGATAATTTTAAACTGGGTATATGCTGGAAGCAATACACTGGTTTTAATGACAAAGTGGAGCTTTTGTACCTACAGCATGGCAAATTTCTTACCATAGTGATTTTTACTTTATAAAGTCAAATGTTAGCTCATTTTCCTGTTTCCTTTGACTGTACAAAGAGGTATGTGCTTAATTATACTCATGTGAGTAATCCCTTTTCATTCCCTGGGATTGCTGGTTAGGAGTGAAATTAGACAAATATAAGCACTTAGTGTCTGAGGCTGTTCTTCCAAAATGCTGTACTGACCACATTACAGAAAGCATGAGGGGAGGAAATCTCACAATAAACTGAACATTTATGTCCTGCAAATATCATCTGAGGAGCATTATTTACAGAAATAAGCAGGTAAATGGTAGTGCATGAAGTTGAGAACCTGTCCCCCTCTTAGCTGACTTTTTCTGATTTGAACTGTGGAGGAAAATAAATAAATAAAACTCAAAATGGCAGTGTGAAAAGTATTGTAAACCTGACCACAGGGCAAAGACTTAAATTCTTTTCTCCCTGCAAGTTTGTATATACCCAGGCAAATTTTTGTTATTGGGTGAAATTCTTGGTGTTATATGTGAAACACTGGACACTTTATTCTGGAAAATGCACTTTTGATTTTGAAAGCATTTTATTTTTTAAAATATGCACCCAGAAGCATTTGTGCTCTGGCTAAGTCCTCATTTAATGTATTCTGACCTCTTTATTGTGTGACCTTATTGGCTTTTGTTTTGCAAGCCTCAATAAGATTATTGAGTCAGTTGTGATTTTGTAATTTAATAAGAACATGGTGAACTGTGTAATATTCTGGAAGTGTAATATTCTTATGGCTTCTCATTTTTAAATTATTGGATGTCACTAGTACTTGGTTTATAGAGACTTCTGTCTTTGGTGTTCATTGAGGGAAAAGAGTATCATCATGATTTCAGATGTTCTAAATGCTGTGTACATTATTTAATAATGTAATATTTTAATGTAATAATAATTTAATATTTAATGTAATAGCTCATTATTTAGGATAATTGGGCAGCTTTTGGAAGATCATGTTCTCTGCTTGGAAATTTTACAACTCTTTTTTAACCTGTGTTTTATTTCCAGGTGTACCATAGTCATTTCTGGCCACTGGAGTGGGCTGTGCCATCCAGAGACAACAACAAATGCTATGCAAAGATAATTTGCAATACTCAAGATAACGTAAGTTATCCTTAATGGAAGTTATTTCCTTCCTGGGAAAAAAATATCTAAATGTTTATCATAAAACTGTTGATGACACAAGGGCTATAAATAGGTTGTTTTTAACAAATGAAAATTAATTTAAATTTGCCTACCTTTTGAAGTGTAATAAATATTTCTAGTGATGCATATTTCTGTGTATACAAAACCAACTCCCAATAAAATACAAAATTCTGCCATTGTTATTTGTATATGATACTTCTTCCATATATGTAAAATAAGAAGTAAAGATCTTTAAGACTGTTGATTAACTTTGAGAAGTGAGCAAATCAATGCATGTAAAAAGGGTTAGGAATTTTATTGGTTTATTCTTTCTGCCCCAGACTTGGACATTCTCTTCTGAGAGACTCTTCTCTCTGAAACTGAGGTCTCTCAGAAACTATCACAACTTGTAACCACTCCAAATTCACATGTGTTCATAAAATTCTTGAGCTTGTTCTAACAGGATAATATATCTTCCATGCACAAATCCCATTTAGGATGATAATACCAGGATTATCCTCGGACTAGGATCAAATTTCCTGGCCGTGGAAATGTACAGTACCCGCTGAAGCAAAAGCAAAACTAGTAATTGGTTAGAAGAATTGGTGTGGCCATCTCAGAATGATCATCATCTGTTCAATAAAATGTAGTTGATTTTATTAATATAAATTATTATTAAGAGTAATATTCTATTAAAATATATTCCTGTTAATATGGTGGCATATCTGTCCTATGAGAAAAAACAAAACTTACTTACCCTATATTCATCTTTCTAGATACAGATTTTTCTTCCTGCAGTCTTTCTAAGCATCTTGTCAACATTTTGTAAAATTTGCAAACCAGTCCATTTCCTCTTTCTGGAGGAGTTTGCAGTAGTGTGGAAGGTATTTTAGAGCCTTTAGCTATGCTCTAATCCAGAGTCACTTAAGAAAATGCAAAGATTTAATGGTGGTTTAAAGTGTTTCATTAATTTATTTTCACTTCTTGTCTTGAAAAGTTGAAACGTGTTTAAACATCTAGGTGTAGTGTTGAAAGTTACCCTGGAAAAAAATAATAGTTCAGTGACTATTTAAAACTCTCATTGCCTTGGTTTCATTGCTATGGTTTTATTTTGACATATGTCAATATTTCTAAAGGAAAATTAAGATAATTCCATTTTACTTATTACCCAATTACAGCTTTTCTTATTTAAATAAACCCTGTGGTAAATCTCAATCCTCAGATTTACTGAAAGAATAATAATCTTTCAGTAGTATTCACTATACCCAATATATGTGATATTTAGCAGGAAGAGCAGATAACTTTTGATACTCAACTGAGCTATATCTATGCTCACCAAAAACTGATGAATTCCCTGAAGGCCACTAAAGCTCACAGCAAGTGATGTGCTAAATTTTCATGTTTCTCTCATTAAGAAATGCAGGTCAAGTCAGTACAGCTTGTTCTGCTGGATGTTTTCTGAGGATGTATGTGCAGTGTGATGTGTTCTGAAATTGAACAGGAGTATAGAGAGGAAGAGTGTGAATGGTACCTTCCTTGTAACTGGATGGGTTTTTTTGCCAGCCTCTAAGTGTATTATCTCCCACTGAAAGCCAACACTGCCACAAGAGTCATTGACAGTTAAGTTAGAATAGACTTCTTGCCATGTCTGGTTGGCCACAACTTCAGCTTGTGGTCCTTTTCTGTGAGCAACTATCAAACTGAAAATTCTTCAACAGATACAGACCCTGTAGCCACCTACCACAGGCCCTCATACTGGAAACCTTAATGCAGGGTGCTCACCTTTAGTTAGGCAAATGTTTTGTTGGCATGAATGGAATAACTCACCTGAATAAAATCTCCTGAGCTCCTAGTTGAATCTTTGGAGAGAGAGAACTAAATTACACGGCTGCACATCTGTTGGTGCTAATTATAATTCACATTTTAGTGGTCACATTAATTTGTGATACGTTTTGTGAGCTGATTAAATTATATACTCTGAATAAGAAAGCTTTACACATTGTCTAAAGAGAACTGAATTCATGATTGTGCTTGTATTTGATTGTCTTTGGCATTTAGGAGAGAGTCATTGGCTTCCATGTCCTTGGTCCAAATGCTGGAGAGATCACCCAAGGGTTTGCAGCTGCTATTAAATGTGGGTTGACAAAAGAACAGCTGGACAGCACCGTAGGAATTCATCCTGTCTGTGCCGAGGTTTGTATACAAAGTCACCTCAAAGCCCAGCTTTCATGGCATTCTGGGGTAAGGTGTTAGAAATCTGAATAACAGACCTCTATTAAAGAGGTCCAAATTTGCAGGAAGGTGGGGGGAGGAAAGGAGATGAAATTATCTGGTTTTATATTTAGAATTCTAACACTTAGGCTTAGTCTGGGATTTTTTTAATTGTTTTTTAAAAATTGTGTTCATTTGTGAAAAGTTTATGCCTTCCCTTAATCCAGTTCTCTCTCTACTGGGAAGTATAGAATTTTTATCCTACTCAGGATTATGAAGGCTTCAAATATTATTTCTACTAAAGCTAGATTAGTTCACCCAAAATAGGCTTACAAACTAGAGCTGGGAAAGGGGACCGGTTACATGACAATTTTTCTATTAAACTCTCTCCTCTTACAGAGCTCTTCTTTATCCTGTAGACTTTCAATTCATGAAGCCACACAAATATTTCTACTTTTTATCTTGCTGTTCCTCTTTAATGAAGAGCTCAATTTTCTCTAGCAGGTGTGGAACAGCTCCTCCCAAACGTAAATCAGAGATTGATTTTAGTAGCATTAGGACCAGTTTATATTAGCTGAGAATCCCTGAAAGCTTTTTTATGACCTGTGTAAGTCTTCGTACAGAGTCTCTGGTTGTGTTAGAAGTAAAGCAGTGCAAGGGAGCACCAGAATGCTCCTCTGCAGAAGTGACATCCACCTCTCTTCTTTCCTACTTTCTAGGTAGTTTAGTAAAAGCAACGCAATAAGGACTCCATTAATGGACTGCTAGCAATCTAAATCCTCTACAAAGCACCCACAATATATTCTGTTCCTTGTAGTACCATTTAATGGTATTCTTGGAGGCCCTTGAAGAGGGCTAGCAGGTCCTTGTCTTCCCAGGGGGCCTGTGGAGGGGGATCTCTGAGGGCAGCATTCAAACCTGTGAACTCAAGTGGGGTATTAGCATATGCAGTGTCAAGAGAGGATGAGAGTCATAATTTATTCTGGACATCTGAGCTGCTAAAACTGAAACTGAATAGAATGATGATTAGACATAATTCAGGGAGGTAATTTCAGATAATCAGATTTGTTTGAGTGGGGGAGGAAGAAATTGGCTCAGGAGAAATATGCTATTTAAAAGCTCCAGGAAACACCGATCATTTTTAGTGACAGTCTTCAAAAGGGTTTTTTATGCTTTTACTTAATTTAATCTCTTGAGCAGTAAATAAAAATCAAAGTGCAAGATGGCACTCTTTGATTAGAAAAATGCTTGAAAACTGGGATTTGTGAGAAATGAGCATTTTGGATGAATAGCATGATGGATAATATCACTATTATCTTTGTTACATCCCTGTAAAAGTTAAAGAAAATGAAGTCTATTTGAACAGGAAGGGCCAGTGTTACAGGGTCAAGTGCTGACATCTTCACTGGCACTAGTACTAATTAATTGCTAAGTCTCTTGTGAAACATGGTTTTATTGAAGAAAACCTTAAGACTGAGGGTCCCATTTTCACAGTCTATGAATTAGAGCCAGATTTTCCTTCTCTTCTTGAAGCAGCATTTTATTCTGCAGAAAACAGGAGCTCAGAATGGAATTTCTTGCAAGGTTGAGTGCAAATAACTGCAAGCACAGAACTGGTAGGACCTCAGCCCTACAGAGAATTACATCTCAGCCTCAACTGCACTGTGCTACCTGAAATTCAGGGGGGTACTATTGATCATCTGTGATGAAGAGAAATTGTGTCCTGAAAGCTGGGGTAATTCTTCCAGGTAGCTAATGATGGCTTTCCAGCCATTGGATCTAAGGTTTTGTCTTCCCTTAAGTAAAAAACAAATTCTATCTAAAATACTTGTTTCCAACAATTATCAAATTACTCCAGCTGGCTTACTAGGGAGCAGTGTTGTCCCCTCCCGCACCTGGAGCTTGCAGTCTGGCCAGGAGGAAAGCAGATAAATTTTGTGCTTTTTAATCTTGGTCTTTTGAAGTGAAATAACAATAAATGAAGACTCCCATATGTTGTCAGGCTGTGGATCAGAAACGAAGTCTACAAACCCCTCTCTCAAAACATGCACTATATTTTAGATAAGTCACTGTTCTTATGCCATATATATTAGACATGCATTTGTCTTCCTGATTTGTGGATAATGCTTTATGTGCTTATAGAAAGTGGAAGAGGTTTATCATTTATTGGTGTTGTCCTCTGAAGAGCTGCTAGCAATCTTAATGCAGCAAAACTTCTACTTAAAGAAATATAAGTCTTTCTGATCCCCATTATCTTTAGATACTTCAGTGTTATTTGCATAGCTGAAACGTGTATGTACTATATTCTGTGCTAACTTTATTCTTCCTGAGGATGGCTCTGATGATAACTAATTATTGCAACATTTAGATAGCAGTGGTTTTGATTTCCGTTTTTCCTTTCTACATTGTATGTATGCAAAATGATGCAATTATTTGCATAGTAAAGTACCAGTATTAAGAAGATGTTTGTAGAATTTTCCTTCCCAAATTTTACAATAATTATTTAGGAATAATATATATAAATAAATAAATAAATATATATATATATTTATATATTCTTTAATGTGACTTGAAAGCAGTAAAGACTGGAATTTTTCAAACTAGTTTTACTCAGTGTTCCCATAGCAGTTGTCAAGAGGACACAGATACCAGACATAATGTCTTTATCAGCAATCACTTCCATGTTTCTATAATGGCTAGAAAGGCACAAAGGCAAAATTGTCTCCAAATGCCCAGGCCTTGAGTTAACTTCACTTTCCCCAACAAAGAAGTTTTCTTTGAGCCATAAAGACACTTATTCATTAGGTGTACTGGAGTCTATTATTGCTGAGCTTGTTCCCACTGTAAAAACTTAGGAGCATTAAGATCAGAGGCAGTATAAAGCCATGTGACTTCCTTAATTCTTTCTTTTCCACTGTAAAAGGAAGAACGTAAGTTAAATGAAGAGAACAGAAGTAATTTGTGTGTGCTGTTTAATTACAAGGATTTTAAAAGTAGGAATTTCATTATTTTCTTACTTTAAAAAGTGGCTCCGATTTTGAGCATCATGCCCAATTTAATCTTCCAGGAAAAAAAAAGTAAATTTAGCCATGCCGAGAATCTTCTTTCTTCTTTGTCTCAAGGTATTCACCACCCTGTCTGTGACTAAGCGTTCTGGTGAAAACACCGCTGTGAGTGGATGCTGAGGTTAAATTTCCCCATCATTGCTATTGCCAGAGACTGACTTTCATCACAGTGTCTGACTCCTGCAATTCAGAAGATTTTGGGAGAAGTTGCCCTTGGACACCTGCAGAAATGTGTAGAGCTTAACCTGGACATTCCATCATCCTAATGAGAAGAGCTCTGTGGGAGTTGGTCACTTGTGATGCCTGGCTGGCAATTAGCAACGCAATGGGAATCTGGACTGTTGAGTTGCTGATTAGCAGGGCATTTAATAAATGCCTTCATGAAGTCATAGCCTGAAGCCTGCATTGTCTGGTGGGCAGTGATGGAAGAACTGCTAGCACAGCTGGAAAACAACTGTTTTGGTTTGGCTTTATTCCTCTCTAGTTTCTTTCATGAACATTCCTTTCTAGTTCTTTCCAGAACCAAGAACTTCCTACCTCAGAAAAATTCCTCCCAAGTTCAGGTAGTTTTATCAGATAAAATAGCTCCTGTGTTCTGGATCATGACACACAAATGCAAGGTCTCCTCATGAGCATACCTTTTACCAGCTCACATGCCTATAGAGGGCAAATTCTACTTGTTTGATCATGAGGAAGAAAATAGCCTTGGAAAAAAGTTTAGTACCACCTAAAATAACATATTTCTTGCCTTCCAAACTGACTATGTTGTGACTTTTTATTTAGAGAGCCTTATTTGTGAAAACATTCTTCTTAGTGAGAAAGGAAAATAATTTATGAAGGCCTTTTGATACAGAAAGTTGTTGTGTTTCTTCCCTGAAATCATGCATATAATGCAGATGTGATGATCTTAGCTCTTTCTGAAGCTTATGTGATTATAATGAATCTGATTTGGAGCTGACAGAATTCCAATGTTGAATGAATTGTCCTTCTAAGAACTCTGTGCAACTTCATTAAATTTGAGTAAATTTCTTTCTTTCCAGGTGAGCTGTCATAAGCTGCACTGTTTCAGGTCTCAACTGACCACTTTGAACACAAAAGTATTGAGATTTCCTGGAGATTAGTGAACCCTTAGGATAAAAAAAATTACGCAACCAAACAACACCCCCTCCCCAAAACAACTATCCAAACAAACCTTCCAGCCAAACTCCAAAAACCAGTAGAGAAAAATCTGTTGTGTGTAAATAGGGTCTAAAAGTTCTATTTAGTTTGATGTGTGCTATGTTTTATATTTAATTAAGAAAACAATACTTTTAAAACAGAGGTTTCAATGAAAATACCAGGTTCTTGAATATCCCTCCTGTGTTGGATAAGCTGCATATTTACTTGTCAAGAAATGGCAAAAGTGGTTCTTTGTAATGGAGATGAATATGTTTTTTTGATCTATTTTTCTATTTCCCTCTCTTTTAGCAGAAAGATTTCGATTACTTTTATTAAATGGTTCTTGGGAGTTCAGTAGTGCAGTGTGAACAGGAGGTGAATTCCCCAGCCCTGTGGGCAGAACGCCTCATGCCTAAATTCCTACCTGATAACAAATTCTTGTATTTCTACTGAGATTTCTAAAATAGTGTTGTTACTTATTTTTATAAACCCATACGTAACTGAAGAATTTTTCAACGTGTTTTGTATGGTATTTGGAAGGGTCTGTGATGGTATTTTTCTAGCCAGTTTAATAAATAAATCCATTTGCACAATCAGATGCTCCTTGTGATGTCTCTTCCAAGCAGACACCAGGTGACAGCAAGGCGACTGTTTTTTCAAGGGCCAGAAGAGGGCACCGTGATAAACCCAGATTGATTTGCCTTTGTCTTTTGCACTTTGAGGGTAGATATTTCTCTTAAAAAAAGGGTTTGAGGCTGTTTCATGAATATTTGTTTTGCATGTTAAATATTTCAGAAGGACATACTTAAAAATAAAAGATAATTAGGAAACAAATCTTACACTATTTGCACCAGCTGCCATCCATGTAACTTCTGAAAACCCAGGAGTGCCGGTTCCTGAGCTGCTGGGCAGTGTAGCTGCTCATATTTAAGCACAGCACATGGATATCAGCATTTTCAGGCAGGTGTCTAAGAGAGGTTCTGGAGATCAGGATCCTTTATTTCCTGGAGGGAATAAAGATATGTATGAACTTGGCTTTGCAAGGCTAGACCTACACATATCTATTCTTGGGTCGTGTAATCATTTATGATGCATGTTTCTACACTATTTGCTTACAGTTCAGTAGGTGTTGGGCTTAATTACTTCTATTTTTACTTTAAAATTGTAAGACTTTTTTTGGTAGAGTTTTTTTCCATTAATCCTCCATAAGGAAGACATTTTCAGGTGTGTATTTATGTCATCTGTGCACGATGATACAGGTATATAATATATTATCACATAAGGATTTATTAAACGCCAAAGCTAAGCATTCAGTGTTTTTTATCAAATTAAGCATACTTGGGGTAATGCATGCTTTGGAAGCACATACTAGAAAATTTACTAAGATAATCAGTATTTATGTTCTGCTTGTATTGATTTGTAAGTAACATTTTTGGATGCTCTTACATGAGGGTTAAAATCATCCTCAGATGCTACAGATACATATGTTGACAGGAAATTTCACAGATTTGAATAGGGAATTTAATAGAGTTTCACTGACAGCTCCCAGAATTTTTTCTTTTTTACCCCTCTCCCCTTGATGTGAGTCGTCTGAGCAATCCTAACTTTACTGTAAGTTTTGTATTCCAACTTGCATCCCACTTTCCCTCCTTTGAGCCCTGCTGCCTGTCCAGAACCCTAGTGCAGAAGGCTCCCTTCCCAGCTGTGGAGCTGTAGGCTGGGCAGGACCCGTGCCAGACGGTGGATTTTCTGGACATGCCGTGAATGCTGGAGATTTCATGACAGGGTCTTGCTGTGCCGTGTAGGATGACCTTGCACTCATAAAGCCTGTTACTGATCCTGTCTCTGGCTGTGCCAGAAGAAACCAGATGACTGAGTCTTTTACACAAGACTTAATAGACACCTTTCAGGTCAAAATAGGGTATAAATATTTGTGGAAACTGTCAGCCCTGCCGAGAGTGACTGTTGCCGTTCATTTGGGGGGAGGCTCCCCAGGGAGTCCCCGGGAGGCCACCTAAGCTGTAAATTCCCTGATAGCAGCAGGCAGGCAAGGAGACTCCATGAAGCTTCTGAGGGTGCTAATTAGGTGAGGGTATATGGGGAGTCCCACCCCTGGGAGCAGCATGGTTTCTGAGGGAGAAGGGGGAAAGGGGGAGAGAGGGAGAGCCTAGGGGAAAAAAGGGGCCAAGAGAGAGCAGTGGGCTAAGAGGGCTCCCTCGCACAGCTTAACAGGGAGATTCAAAGTGGGTGCGGAATAAGACTTGGGCCAATGGGATTACAGATCAGGGGAGGATCACAGGCTTTGAACAAACTGTACATTTTTGAGGGGTGAGACAGAGCATACCATTTAACTAAAATGTAAATCACAAGTGATGTTTCAGAAGCCCTTTCTCTTTGATGATCGGCTTTTCTGATTGCTCAGTTGTCCTCAGTGTGGGATGATGTGAGACTGTTCTTGTCAAGGCCTGCTTGGCCTCCAGAGAGAAATTAAACCTGAAAAGTACAAAGAAAAAACGTAGAAAGAAGGCACCAGGGGATGGATCTGCCACACCACTGGCCTCCCTTCTTCATGCACAAAATGGCAAAATGCTCCTGAAATATTTTCATCCTGTAGGCAACCATTTGTGCCTCCGGGGTTTTGGTTTGGGTGCGGCTGGTGGGGGGGTGGGAGTAGAGCAAGGGCTTTGACATCCATCAGGAAGGGTTGCCAGTGTGGAAAGGCAAAGGCACAGTGCAAGTCACATGCTGTGATGGGTATCAGAGGGCTTGGTGGTAGGGGGGGGATTGGTAGGGCTGAGAGCGCTCCCAAGATTCCATGGAGCTTGGGAAACGCAGGAGGGCCTCTGCAGTGAGGGGCTGTCCTTCAGCTGGGCCCATCCTACAGGGTCCTGTGGGAGCTTGCAGATCTAAATGTTTGCTTTCCTTTTATTTGCCAAATGCTCCTGACAAATCCTATTGTGCAGAATTTGACTTTACACATATGATTTCTTTTTCATTCAATTGTTCTTTTTATGTCTCTTTTCTAGAAGCTAGAAATCTTCCTAGTTACAGACTTGTCTGAGGGAGTTCTCCCAGTGCACTTCTGCATCTTAACATCATGAAATAAGCTGGCACCAAGTGGGGTGTATATCAGGACAGAGAGGGCAGGCTTTCCTTTCCCCTTGCAAACCTCTGTGACTGGCCTTCCTCAGCACCACCAGTGACTCCTGACCTGCCCCATCAAGTTGGCCGACCATCAGGTGCCAACAGGGGATGTTTTTTCTGCCAAGAAGGCCATGGTGTGGCCAGACTCCTTGAGTGAGCCCATTCCCTGCTGCAAATGGCCATCATGAGCCCAAAGAAGAATGCATCCCCTTCTCTAGACTGCAAAAGAAGCTACTTAGGCCTATAGTGAAAAATCTGCCACTAAATCCCAGATCCTTCCTTCCTCTGTATATACTTGTCTCATCAAGTGATTCTTTCCATGAAAATAAGGTTTATCCTAGGTTGGGCACAGAATAAATTGAGCTCTGCCTTTTCACCTGCTTTCAAAAATAAATGGTAACACATTTAGCCTGAAGATCTTCTTTACCTCTTAATGTCAGTGTAAATTGACCACCATGATGAGAAGTGTGTGTATGCCAGGTAGGCAAAAGTGGTGACTCGCTTTTGGGTTTGACCCAGAGTAGCTTTTCACACTCTGGAGCTTCTGCACAATTAGATATATTTATGTTGTATATATAGATATCTATATGTATATACAGATACATATACATGAACTGTGGAATGGGGCAACTTAAGGTCTCTTTGCAGCCATATTTTCTCTTGGGTGACACTTTGAGGTTGCTACATCATGGAAGGGAGGGACAATACAGAGAGAGAAACTGCATGACGTGAGGTGTCTTGTAGACCCAACACCACAAGTGTATCTGAAAATAAAAGCTCATGACTTGTTTTAATTTTCTCTGGGGTGTGAGGGGCCACAATGGAGCTGTG